TAAGACATGACTGCGACATAATTGCCCAGGTAATTTTTGCACATTCAGAGACATTTTTATTTCTTCAGTTCAGCGAGCAGTTGCTGCAAAAATCTACCTACACTCATTTGCACTGCAATAGAAAAAGCTGCTCTTCTAATAAGATTTATATTCACCAACCAAGAAGATTTTCACAAGATACAAAGGGCAGCTTAACTCTCAACTCAAAGCAGTTCCAGACTACCAGTCTCTTTGAGCAGAATGACCAGAGTAGGTTTGCTCACACTGATGACAGTTCCATGGAAAGCTATGAAAAGCTTTTACAGGGACACCAACAAACAGATACAGCACACGGCAGGGTTTCTGGGGGATGGATTTCATTGCATGCAATTAAATGAGGGCCAGTTCCTTGTGGCTGTCAAATTTCTCTGTATCCCAAATAGAATAATTTAAAATCAGTATACAGGGTCCATCAAAGAAATGCCACACACCCAACTGCCTTGTAGATCTCATTCTCCTTCGTAAGCAAGAGAGAAAGCAAAGATCAATTGCAAGATGGGAGAGTGCTGCATTGATTTTCAAACAGAATCTGCCATCAAAACCAATGGTGAGCTTGTCTTCAGACATAAGGAAAAAAATCTCCTGTGGTCTGAGTTGTTCTGATATTTGAGCAAAGGCAGACATCAGCTATCAGCCATACCATGCTGCATATGTAACCGAGATGATCATGGAGATGAGGCAAGTCTGACCTGCGAGACCTAACCTTCGTCAGCATCCAGAGGAGAGCAGTGCAAGTCTAAAACAGGAGATGGAAAATGGAGCAAAAAAAATGCAAGTGGGAGGGATGGGAAGGGAATCAGGTTTAGAATAAGTCAGTTTCATAAACCTGTCTGAGGTAAGATAAAGATGGTATTAATTATCCTGCCTCTGTGAGGAATTTCACACTTTGGGGGATCCTAACACACCACCAGTATGACCGCCAGCCTGGCAGAGCAGCTCCTGCCTCACAGGAGTGACTCACAGTCCCCTGCCTGCTGCAGCTGGGAAGCCTACAGAACAAAGCAAACACATCTGTGAAAGTGTAGGCAGGCTAAAGACCAGTGAGCACACTGATTTCACAGGAAACACAGCAGATAAAACTATGATGGGCTATCACATAAAACCCCAAGACTGACCTATTTCACACAGACAAAAGTTCCAGGAGCATGGAGCAATAATAAGCTTGCACTCAGTTATCTGGATAGCACATGGCAGGAGAGTGAAAGGGGAAAATATTTGAGCAAAAGAGACAGGGAAAGTCAGGTATATATTGCTGTATCTCCAGCTATAGCAAACACTGCAACATGGTTTTTTTCAGTAAAGGCTAGACAGGCAATAGGAAAACACGTCCAAGTCCCCACTACCACTTCTTCCCTCAGGAACCAACATAGCTTCAGATAAGCCACAACAGCCAGGATCATCTCCAGCATTTTCTTCACAGTGGTTCTGAGCACTGGAGAGCTGCACAATTCACCTTCCCTCAAAAACAACTGGTTGGGGAACCTAACTTGGGAGGGTGGGTTCCCAGCTCTTTGAAAATCTCTGACAAAACTCAAGACAATGCAAAGGTGCAATAACCAAACAGCACATTTACAGCTGGCTTCCCAACAAGGAATGGGAACACAGCCAAAAAGAGAAGATACAGTAAAAACCACCTGATTTCCTTCCAGCATGAATGTGTTGGTATTTAAGATAGGGAACAAGGGATACATCGTATTTTTTTGCAAAGATAAGGCTAAGCTCGTCTTCCCAGCTTCAGGCATTAGGTGTGTTTGTGTTGTTTGAGGTTTTTGCCTTTTTTTAAAAAAGGTTTCTGTTAACTATGTAATTTTCTTTTCTTTTTACCCCAAAGGAAAAAAAAAAAAAACCTATCAGCAGAAATTTGTGTCTCAAACACTTCTAGCAAGAGTTCCATACTCAGATCTCCTAAAATGGAAAATCCCCTCTAACAGATAAAAATTTATCTTAACCCAGAGGGGGTTGGACTCATCATCTGGTGGCCTCCTAGCACCTTTCACCTTCACTTTCTCTCACCTGAAACTGACGAGAAAGCTCTGTAAGCAGCCTCCTGAAATTCACTGAGAGAACTCTGGGGCTCAAGAAACTGACAGTAAGGACCTGACACTTCTCGTTGAGGACTTATCTGAAAACCTTATTTTCTCTCCAAAAGGTTTGGGTGGGAATTTTTAATCTAATTCTGATTGCAAAGCGCCTCTGCCAGAGAGCATGGTAAGCTACCAACAGCAGTGACACTGGCAAGCCAGAGATGAGAGACAGCTCCCTCCTGCAGCCATCCAAAGACATGCTTCAGTGGAGACCAGCTAGAATTTACAACACCCCTCAGCAACAAAAAGGACATTAACCAAGTTCTTGAAAGCTCTCAATACCTCCAGTCCTGACCTACACTCTGCCCAGGATCTGGCTCCGGTGAATTCTGACTCATGAGAAAGGTTACGAGCACATGTTACAAAAAAAGACTTAATTCCTAAAAATGATCCACTACCCAATGTACATCACATTCACGGGTCTACCACCTCCCTCCTTCCTGATCCTTCAGGAACTCTACATTCATCTATCAGTTGCATTACCAGGATGGTAACACATACAATGGCATAACAGACACCTGGGAGAGCAGCAGTCTGAGTCCCACAAACCGTGGGGAACCCACTCCCCGCAGGACTAAAGTGGAACTGGAGAACCTCCCAGCAGTTTCTGCTATGGAACAACCCACCAAAAAAAAAAAAAAAAAAAAAAAAATCAGAATAAGTTATGATGAAAAAGGCACAATAAAGGTTGTGTTCTATTTATTTCCATATCTACTCCACTCACACTAACAACCTAAATACATGTCACACACAACATGGGTGCACATTATCCTCCCGGTTATTTCACAGCTTCGCATTCTCTCCTCAGAGCTTATGCTAAATCCTTTGAACTGTACTAAAATATCAGCCTATTTATAGCTTCATAATACAATGAGCATAAAGCCATAATCTCCAACAGTTAACTATAGAGCATATTGAGAATTCTTAAAAGATAATTTTTCTACATTCAAAAATTCACAGAAGGATATTTAGCCTAATCTCTCACCTACTGCATGCTAAGTTTGTGTTCCAGCAGCATAATTCATCTGAAACAAGAGGAAATAATAAGTCTTGGCCAAATTTTCTGAATATGTGGGCAAACTATATCATCTGTGGAACCGCACCAATTAAAATATCACACTTCTATTAAATTGGTGAAGCCGTGTTACAACCCATAATTCTGCATGGTACCTTGAAGACCAGAAATAAAGCCTTCTCCAGGTCTGCTAAGGACTGAGCACTCCTTGTGAAACCAGTAAGCATGGGGCAGACACAGCAAGAAAGAGAATAGATATGCTAATTTTTCCAAGAAGTTGACAGGTATTAATACAGATGGGCACCATACAAGAACACATTCATCAAGCAAATTATACCAACTCTGGAGGAGCAGGCAGCTGATACAAAAACACCAAACAGGACTTGGCTTCACCACAGAACAGCAGATCTCTTATTTCCTAATTCTCTCAGTGCACCAAGCCTCTACCATTTGATGAAAAGCTCTCCAAAAAGTTTAAGGAAAAATCACTTTTCATAGAATCATTTAGGTTGGAAAAGACCTCTGAGACAGAGTCCAACCACTAACTCAGCACTGCCAAGTCCACCACTAAACTACGTCTCTAAGTGCCACATACACACATGGCAACTATGGGAGCCACAAGGAGGGAAAGAAAAAGTCGATGTGAATAGATCCTTTTTCCTTTTACTGCAATTCCCTTATCAGCTACAGCTATATGCCTGTAGGCAGGACGCTTGAGAGCTGGCAGTAGACAATAACAGGTACGGCTGGGAAGACTCGCCCGCTGAGGAGTGCAGCCAGTCTGCCAGCTACAGCTGCTGGCCCACGACGAGGTGTCACTCCCTCTCACCAGCGTCGCTCCTCTGCTCAGCTGTCAGATCCCTCTGGAAAGACACTGCAAGTGCAATTCCCACGTCACTTCTCAGGCAGAAGGGGGGAAAAGTGAGACAGACAGACAGATCAAAATGATTTTTTTTTTTTGCCATGTTGGACAAATTTTACCAAGCTGCACAAAGCATCCACGAGGGGTCTGTGCACACAGCTGACACCTCGTGAAGTTTCCACAGCCCAAGCCCACCTTTGTGTGAATTAGTAGCTGATCTACTTGGGACTTCCCTGGGAGCCAGCATCCACTGCCCCCGGTACAGGTCTGTCCCTAGGATGAGGGAAACCGAAAAGCTAAAGTCGCTTTAGGTACCCAGGAGTGTGGATCCGAGGTGATCCCTGCACAGCGCTCCGCAGTCCTGCGGACATCCGTGCCCAGCCAGCGGCTCCACCCGGAGCTCCTCGGCCGCCCGAACACCGGGACGCGGCAGGACCGGGCGGCAGCGCCGCGGGCAGGGGTGCCCGGCCCGGGCAGCCGCCCCTGCCGCTCCAGACAACTCGGGCGAGCCGGAGCGGAGCTGCCGCCGGCGGCAGCGGGTGCCCTTGCTCGGCCGCGGTGCTCCTGACGCTTCCAAAAACGAAAAGCTGGGAAGACGAAGGCCCGCGACCCCTGACAGGAGAGGGGAGCTGGGGTCCCGCTCCCGGCGAGGGGGACACGCGGGGACCGGGCAGCTGCCGTCGCCCCTCAGCCACGAAGCGCTCGCCAGCCGCTGTCGTCTCCCGTTCCCCCTCACCAAGAGCACGATATAAAGCGGAAAATAACAAAATCCTTAAACAAACCAACTTTCCTCCCTCCCACGGGAAGTTTCCTGCGGGAGCCGAGGCGACCTTCCCGCGCCCGCCGCCGCCGAGCCCCGCGCCTGCCGCAGTGCCGCCGGGAGCCGAGAGCTGGAGCCGGGGGCAGCCGGCGAGGGCTCCCGGGGCGGCTGCCACCTGCGCCGGCAGGGAGCGAGGAGGGCGCTGCCCTCGGCGGTGCCGGCGCGGTTGCGGGGCCCTACCTGGGTGCAACATACTTTGGAAATAGAAGATGACGAGGATGAAGGAGCCCACGGAAGTGACCAGGACCATCCTGCACACCCGGTTCATCCTCATTACTTCCAGCACCGCCGGCTTCATGGCGTTGTCCGGCGGCGCAGAGAGGGCGGCGGAGCGCGCAGGGCTGGCGCTGGGAGCCGCTCCGCGCCCGCTCCGCGCCGAGGAGCCGCCGCCGGAGGATGCCCGAGCACCCGCGCCCCGCGCCGGGGGGCGTTAATGCCGCGCTGGGCGTGACCACGCGGCGCGCCAGGCGGAGGGGCGCTCTACACGCGCGGGGGGGAGGCGGGCCAGGCGGGGAGCCGGGGCGGAGCGCGGCCCCCCCTCGCCAAGGGCAGAGATGGTCCCGCCCGGCGGCGGCGGCGGGCGGGGACGAGCCGGGCGGCCCCGAGGGGCTGCGGCGCCGCGCCCCGGCCCCTCACGGCCCCGGGGGCGTCCGGCAAGAGCCGTGCGAGCGGCCCAGCTGCCCGCGAACTTGACCACCTCTGTGTCGCTCTCGCCCTCTTCAGGGGAGCGGGGTCCGGCAGCCGCCGGCGGGCAGGAACATCCGTTCCTGCCTGGCTCTGCCCGGCGCCCCGTTCCTGCAGAGAAATCCTCCTCTCGCACTCTCAGTGGTGCCCGTCGCTCCGCTAACCCTAAATGCCTCCTTGCAGGTCTTCCCTCGCTCCGCAGGTTATGTTACAGCCGGTCCCTGCCGTCGTGTTTTGCCGGTGCCGTGCCGTCCCGGCCGGGAGCTGTTCATTTTATCAGCGGCGCGAACACCAACCTGGGGCGCACGGAACCATCCCGGGGGCACACAGTGCCACCTGGCCTGGCAGAAATGAACGGGGCTTCTTTTGTTTTCAAACCCGAGACTTCTAAGTTCTCTGCATTAACTAACACTGTTCATTTGTCAGTGCAATCAAAAGGTCTTTGCCCCGCGGTCGGCCCGCCGAAGGTGGATGTACCTTTCGGTGGTGGAGAGCAGCAGCAGGCGATGAGATACGAGCCCGGCGGTGGGAGGAATGCAGAGGAGCTGCGAGCTGCAGAACAAAAGGCTCGGCCGTGCCCAAGCGAGCACCGTGTGTGGGACAGCTGGGGAGCCGGGGGCTGAGAGCGACCGCCGCTCGGCCGAGTCCCGAGCGGGTTTCCCAACGCGAACCACAAGCACAGCTCTCTAAATGGGATTATCCTCTTGCTCTGAACTACACAGGTGCTGAAAGTACAGTGCTGAATCGAAATGTCTTCTTAGCAATATACCATTCATCTTTGTGCGGTGGTGACAGTTCTGTTTGTTCCCCTGACGCTCCCAAATACGCTTTGCTATTAGTTTTCTTTTTGCTAAACTGAAGATGCTGATACCATCTTCTCGTGTAAAGGGACTTTTTTTCCCCCTCACGCTTCTTTCTGCTCTTCCGATGAATTGGGGGGATGGGTCTTTAAAAAGAAAATAGCCCTGAACAGTCTGAATCCAAAGCTGGGAAGCAAGTGGAGTAAAACATACTTTAAGCTAAAACAACCCCTCCCAATTCCATTCCCTCCCACCCTTGCCCTCTGCCCCCTCAGAAGAGGCAAATCCCACAAACAAACAACCCCAAACAAAATAAACAAGCAAACAAACCCAGAAGGTATGAGTGTTCATTCCCAGTTAATTGTGACAGAAACATGCAAAGTCATCAGAGTTTTCAATTTCCACTTTCCAAAACCCAAAGGTTTTACCTCAAGGATAAACCAGTAATTAATTAGGCATTCACAATGGAGTAGATTATTTAGTTTTGGCCTGGAGTTCCTTTTATCAGAAACAAATTCTATTGTTCATTGGCAAAGGTTTTACGCAATATTTTGCTTACTTTCTCTAGATTTTCTGGTTTTTTCTGTTAGCAGTTTTAATATGCAGTGACCATTTTCTAGTCTTCCTAATGTAAAGGAAGCTTTAAATTTATTTTTCTCTTTTAAGTCCAAACTGCAAACATGAGAAAAAGTCATTCTATGAAAAGCACTAGACAAAGAGAAGCATTTCTATGTAAAGCATCAAAGTGGTGGATCAGATCGTTAAGGCAGCCAGCAAAAGTCAGTCAGGAGCAGAGCCTGGCATTTCAGCATCCCCTGGCAATACATGTGCTGCAGCACAACAGCAACGGCAGTATTTTAACAGAAAGAACTGGACTGTCTCCAGGAGCCTGCATAAGACATCGAGGACTGAGAGGAAAAAGCCTAGAACTCAATACTCAGCCAAGTTACACAAGAAGAGAAATGCTTTATGCTGTTAGAGAAGGTGGACGGTTTTTCAGTGTGGCTTAACAGTAGTTACCTTTTTTTTTTCTTTTTTTCTTTTTCTTTTTTTTTTTTTCTGTGAGCATTGTCCTCTAATGGAATGATGGAGAGTTTTAAAGCATTGAGAAGAAAATCACCAGCTGTGTTGCCATTTACTTTTAAAAGAACATTATAAAGCAATGGCATCATTATGGACATTGGTGGTTATAAACTCAACATCCACCCAAATGCTTACAGCATCTCTGCAAATTTCCAACTATGACAACCTTCCTGGTGAGTCAGGACAATGAAATGCAGCAGCCTATTTTTGAGACAGCCAGTTTTTTGTTTTCCTACAAAAAAGAGCATAACTGAGGTAACATAAGGAAACACAGTTGTCTTTCCAGGTGGGTGCCAAGTTATAGAATAAGTACACGAACAGCTCAGGCACTTCTTCTAAAGTATGCCTCTCTCTGAGTGTAAACTCCAGCAGCTCCAGAGCAGCAGGGAGTCTGGATAGTGCTGTGGGTGTGATCACCTACCATTCCCATGATAATAACCAGCATTCAGTATCTCTGAATAAAAATAGTCCCGTCATCCAAGAGATGTCTGGAAAGACAGACTTAGGAGATTAAGAGTTAGATACCGGTGACATCAAAAGTACAGACAGTGTTTTGTGGATTATTTTGTATAATAAAAGAGCTTCACAAAAATAAATTTAAAAAAAGAAAAAAAAAAAAAAAAACCCAACTCCAAACAGAACGACCCACATCACTATTTATTGCTAAATCTCAAAAAATAGCAAAACTGCAATTGAAGAACAGTACAGTAAATTCAGGCTGAATTTACTACATGCTGTATTTATATCTGTACTGTTCTTCAATAGCAAAACTGCAATTGAAGAACAGTACAGATATAAATACAGCATGTAGTAAATTCAGGGTGCAATTTATCAAAAAAATGACAAGCAGGCTAATATCGAAGAGTATGTTGAAAGGTTAAATAGAATGCCATTAGAAAACAGAGGTATCTGAGAGACATAGACGGTCTGTGCAACTTTTCCTCTCTAAGAAAAGAATCTCAGAAAAAAAGTTGTTTTGTTTTATACTGATAAGCTTCAGCCTTTAAAAAGAGAAGGTGAAATTTTTACAGAATGTCTAATGTTGTTGAAGAAATACACACAAGCTTTAGGAAGGAAACTGCCTTCAGATCTGAAATAGAAACTACAAATTTCAGACTCTGTCTAAGACCATTTCAGACTCTGAGACCGTTGTGACTTCAATCCCATCACACCATAGGATAAAGTCAGGTGGATGAGAAAGTCTTCTGGATGTATTTTCTGATCATATTGTGCGGGGATAGTTTTTAACTTCTCTGGTGGAGACAGCAGTATTGTAAAGGGACCGAGTCTTAGGCTTTATCCCCCCCAGGAAAAAGGACATTGCTTTAATGATTCCAACCAGTCAGTGGACCTTTCATTTGACAAGCTACCCTAAAATGTATTGTCTGAAGGCAGGTAGACAAATAAATAACTATGTTAATAGTCAGACACTCTCCCTACCTCAGCCTGAGATTGCCTATAAGTCAAAAAGTGTTTGGCAATGTTATTCCGTTAATTTATGGTAACATCTTTTAAGATACTGATTCTGAGCTCATTAAAAAAAGTATGTGAGAATCTTCCTAACCCAGGTGATTCCAGTGGAATTAGGACAAAGCTCATTTCCCTACACAGATTTCTCAGTCAGCAACTCACTGTCTGCATGAATGAAAGGCCACCCACCTCCGTGAAACCATCTCTACAGAGATCTGAAAGACAATCCTTTTTGGAGCTAAGCAGATGTCTTGCCCCTTCTTCTTCCCTCCAAATGAGACCCCCCATGTACCTGTGAAGCAACCAGGAGAAACAATATATGATGTATTTCAAGATTAAAATAGGACCCTCAAGCAAAATCTATACTTGATGTGAGAGCACTGTAATATTAATTAAAATATTAATATTGTAAAATTCTTAGTAATAAGTCTTGGAGGTGACAGACATAGAAACAATTTTTAAGCTTTGCTTTGAAGGATGTAATTTCTAGAGGTGATGGATGTTTACACCTCTGCCCACTGCAATAAACAGCTGTAGGGGATCAAACCCAGTGGTCCAGCAGTGTCCAGGACAATGTCATTGGCTTCAGAGGAAACATCAGTTTGCCCTGCAATAGGTAGCAGTGGTCAAGTCTGTCAAAAAATTGGTGTTTGCTTGTGACATTTATTAGGTAGAGCTTGACTTTTGTCCTGCAATGCAAATGGCTTCACTTGGGGAGCACCCTCCTGAAAGTCAAATCCAAGAAAATTTCCAATGCATCCTGTCACCACAGTTACAACCAGAGCAGCCAATACAAATTCCTGGGCAAAGCAGACATTAATATATTTGCCAAGTTCCACTGAAGTTCAGCTCTCTTTTTTTTCCACTGTGTGTATACTTCCTTTGCAGTTTTCTCCATTGCTAGTGAAGGATATTTTTTATGAAGTGAAATATTGGAGTAAAACTTTTAACAATTGCACGGGTCAAAGCAGCTGCAAGACAAGCAGAATCCCCTTGTTGAGTTTGTTGCCTTGTTGAAAGGAGATTTTTAAATGGATGAGCATTTTCCCCAGCAATGACAGCGCACCCTTAAGTTGCACTGAAACTCAGATCTCTGTCAGCTGACCTTGGGGCATCATCTTCAGTGTGACTCAGAGCACACAGAGGCTGAAATAAGAGGAATCACTAGCTTTTTGTAGGGTTGCTCACACCAATTCTATTCTCAGACACCAGGGATTACTCATGCTCTTCAGAACATATTGCTGGCATCCTGCTCTGCTGC